TCCGTTCCCCGCCCGGCCTCTACCCCCGCCCCGTCTGGGCCCACCTCTGCCCCCGCCCCGGCCAGCACTGCCTCGGCTCCTCACCCTCTCTAGCTTGGCCCCCACCGTCAGGCCTCTGCACGTTCTCCTCTTCCCATCTGTCCTGGTGCGGCTCCTGGTGCTGGCCTGGTCCCGACACCTCCACCTGAATCCTGCGATATTGCTCCAGCTCCTCCTGGTAGCTGTGGCGCTGCCTGCGGCGGTCGGCTCCGTGCTGCGGTTCATCCTGCTGCGAGTAGGACACTGTGTACTGACACTGTGTGCTAATCCTGCTCTTAGGGCCCCTCCCCCCTCCTCCGGCATTATACACCACAGATACACCCCACCCAGGCCCCTGAAAATAACCTCCACAGTGGTACAGCCACCACGGGACCTACAACGGGGCCACACTGTGCCAAAGTGTGACGCCAGGCCAGGCGACCAAAGGCGTCAGAAGACATCTCACCTGTGACACCGATCTGCCCTCATCGTTCTTCATCTGAGGGGCAATTTCTTCAGCCGTGTTGCCTTTCTCATCTTCTCTCTTCCCCTGTTTTCCCCTCTTCCTTTTAATTCCAACCCGCTGACACACCTCATTTCTTAAAGTGAAGGTCGAAATAGTATTTTTAAAATTAGTTCGAGCTTTTGAATAAAAAAAAATGTGAAATGTGCGCAAAAACTCAGTTATAAAAATACTGCACAACATGATGCATGAGACAGAAGGACAATCGAAATGACGCAGAGTAAATAAATGCGCGAAATTCTCAGATTGCGTACGCAACGCTGGGAGCGCACGTAATAAAATACGCACAGGACGTTAAAGCCAATATCCGTCTGAAGAGATGGAGATTTGCTGATGACACACCACCAGAAGCCAGAATCGCTAGGAGTGGTGTAGTTTATCTTTACATTAATTTAAAATGGTAAATGTTCCACGGATCTGTAAAATGACTAAAAATATAACACAATATACATATCCAAGCGGCTGACTTAACCTGAGTCTATATCAGAAAACCGCTCGATCTTTCAAGATACTAGTTGCCTTAAACAGCCTATTTTAAATGGATTAACCCCGATGATAAGAGAAAGGGCATCACCTTAATACCGCTGCGGGCTGCGGGTGCGAGGGGCTCATGGGATCTACGCAGTCTGGGGGTCTGGAGAACAGGCTTGCGAAGTCCATGCTTGCAGAATGGCTTCTACGAGTACAGTCACGGACAGTTGCCTGTCGCGTTATATGTAATGCCCAAAGCTAAACCATGGCTAGCGATAAAAATCATTCGTTCACGGAAACTCTCATAATATTTGTTATCTGTCTATCGCCGTGAATCGTGAATCACACTGGCTGAAAAGCACAGACACCGCTGTGGTACCTTCAGCGATAAACCGGACTGAAACTTCTCACAGATGTAATGAAAAATACCAGAACATATTGGGTATTTTGTAGTAAATCACCAGTTACAGTTCCGGGTAATGAACCTGAACACAGAATCCCGTTTCCTCGCCTTTTACTTCCGGGTTGGGGCATTTGAACTGGTGGAAGTGGAGGCACTGATAATTATCTTGGTAATTATTTCTCAAAGTTAAACACGAATTTAAAAACAAACAGATTTCACCTTATTAAAATGTATATTAATCAGGAAAAGGAAATACAAACTTTCTCCCTGCAGTAGATTTGTGAGCGTTATCGATCTGGCCTGGCGCCCCTGCGGCGCCCATTACGGTAATAACGGTTCAGATTGGAGCCTCAGGGACAGTAATGAATTACAATTCAAATCTTATCCTTTATTTTTTAAATTTGTTTTTATTTACCGGTCAAATTCTACATGATAGCCGCTAAGAATGGTTGCACAGATCTTTTGAAAGAACCCATGCGTGTATATTTAGGTCGCACAAGATTTTCCACAAGTCTGACGTCATTTTGTAGGCGGTTAAAGGTTAAAGGTAAAAGGAATGCTGTGTGGGGGTCGTGTCTGTATGCGCATGCGCAACATGGCGAGCGAGGGTAAGTAACGGGGCACAACTTATTTCAGCCAGAGCATGCCATGGACATGGGTTGAGGATATTTCTTCCTAAAAGTTTGTTGGTTAAATGCTATAAACTTATTGCTTAATTATAAAGAGTTGAAGTTTTCTTCTTTTTAAAAAGGTGTGACTGTGGCCTGACCCCCGTTACAGAAGGTCTGTACGTGTATGAGTTTAAATTCATCCTGGTAAAAGTTTTATTATTCCTTAAAACGTATTTAAAAATAGTACATTAAGAAATACAGATAGTGTATTTTTATTTTCTTAAAGATTATTGAAACCGCTTTGGTGACATCTGCTTCCACTTTCATCTTTGGCCTATCGGTCATAACAGCATAACGACACACACACCCACGTAA